GCCGGTTGCCATGCTGGGCCCTAATATGATTAAAAACAACAACAACAACAACAACAACAACAACAACAACAACAACAACAACACCATTAACTTTGAAACAAGAAAAGGGTAAAATATTAAAATGCTATTAAAATTTGAAACGAAAAAGAAATGCTATGTTAACAACAGTGTTGAACAGTGTGATAAAATGCTATTAAACCACCAGTACCTTTGTTGGTTCGAAAATACTCGGCCTCCGACCTTTCAGGAGGCCAAAGGTACTGGTGGTTTAAACCACCAGTTCTTGGCCCAGCTATTGGCCGTGGAAAAAACTAGAGTAGAAACGTTTTTAGTCAGATGAGTTTGGGCGCTCCTGTAGATGCCCGTACATTTCCTAAAATCGTGGCTTGTTAATGGGCATGACTTCTTTTTTTTTTTTTTTTAATAAATAGAAAGGCTAATTCTTCTGAGCGCAACCAATTCAATTACCTGTCGAATCCGGACAGGATGACCTTCCATGCCTTTTTTGTCGTCATTATAGTATTACGGGGAACCCCGTAGCAGTCACATTTGTGCCCAAGCCTCCAACGAGGGAACATGAGGGAGGTGCACCCACCAGCAGGTGTGATACCTGCTACAGCAGGTGGGTGATACTGGCCAGGGGTCAGCCGGTAGCATCAGGACCGAGCTTCTTCGATGGGCCAGTCACTGTACCTCCCCTCCAGTCCCCTCCCCTGATGAACATCAGCAGTCTCTTCTCAATGCCACTCGGGGGGACCAACGACATATCTCTAGGTGGCGGGCACCAAGCTTGCCCAGGAAGAGGTACATGAGGCCAATTGGGATTGAACCCAAGACCTCCTGAATGCCACTTGCGTGCCTACAATGTATCCACAAAACGAGAGGAGACGGTGGCAGAGGGTGGACACGTACAGAATCAGGGTAGTCGGAGAACAAGAAGAATGGGTAGCATTCCTCCCTGAAACCCTACTCGCCAAGCTCCCCTTTGACCCGACAGAATGGCAATGGCACCCATCAGACAAGAATCAGGGTAGTCGGAGAACAAAGCTCGGCAGGGAATAAGACAGTGTTAGAGAATTTTAGAATGTTTTGTTGGGAATTCCAGGGGTTCTGAGCATTCAAAGGGGTTCTGAGCATTCAAAGGGCTTCTGTGGCTTTCCGTTTTGACTTAGGAAGTGCTGCTTGAGTAGCCTAGCAATAGGTTAGCAGTTATCCATGTTTTTCCTAAATTTTCTAGAATCCTTTTCATAGTTCTCAGATTGTTCTTAGCCGAAGCCAGGTAATGGCCCTGGTATTTCAAATCATTTGTATAATTCTATATGGGACGCTGGGCCCGGTTCCCAGCACGTATTGCTCCCCACGAATAGACTGGAGCACTTGTCCCCGAGAAAAAAAAAAGAAAAAAAGAAGAATGGGTAGCATTCCTCCCTGAAACCCCACTCGCCAAGCTCCCCTTTGACCCGACAGAATGGCAATGGCACCCATCAGACAGGACGAGGCCGGGAGCAAGCAAGAAATTATTTGCCCCGTCTAAGAAAGCCACTTACCGGCTTCTCGGGCCCCGAGTTGATCTTAAGAGTGTTGTGAGGGAGAAATGGATGCCCCACCTGAATGTAGGGAAGGACAGCGTTCGCCCCATCCGATGGTTCACCGCCACAAAAGCGAGACCGGTGAAGATGGCCTTCTTGCAATGAATGTTAGATAGAGCACTGTTGCCTGCCTACGAACGACTGGTTGATCGATCGAACATATTTGGAACAAAAGGGATTTGCAACGCCGTGGTGCACGTCCTGTCTGACTGCCTTCCCTGCCCGCAAGATCCCTGAGACTATAGAGCATATTTTCTTACAATGCCTGGGGGCGAGTCTTACTTGGCGCTGCTGGGATAGAATCTGGGGGTTGCTTGGCATTGAGTCTGCGGTGCCATGGGACTGGAGAGCGCTCTTCTGTGAATCGTGGCTCTCCCCCACGATAACACTTTTGAAGAGAACATGTTTAAGGTGGGGAGGAGAGCAATTATCTGGGCCCTCTGGAGGAAAAGGTGTATGTTAACCATTGAAAACGTGAGACTGGGGGGCGTGGAAATGTCCGATCTAATCAAGCAATATATTCAGGAAGAACTTACCATACAATGGCAAGCAGTGAGATTAAAAAAAAAAAAAGAAAAAAAAGATCTAAATTGGACAAGGCTCGCTCGATAGTGCTTCAACTAGGGCTGGGAGAGGTTTGTCATGGTCTAGCGCTGGTGTCTGCAACCGCTGTCCGGTACCCGGGAGGGCCAAACAAGTGCCCCCGTAGATGAGGAAGTAGAGGTTACGCTAAGGAAGCAGAAAGATGAGGTAGGTAAGGGTGGGTCCTGCAAGCAACCAAAAAAAAAAAAAAAAAAAAAAAAAAAAAAGAGGTCTAAATTGGACCTATTGCACACCGAAAAGGATATAACACTGGCTATCAAGCAATTCTCCAGGGACTGGTTGGGGAATGAACAGGGAGGTTGGATGGCTTACGCTCGCTGGGCGGGCGGCAGAATCCTGGAAGGTGGGGAAGAGGGCTTGAAACGAGACTAAACTATCTGCTTTAAGGATTGGACCAAGGTGGACGCAGCAATTCCGTTACGCCCCCCCTTGGAGTTCCCGGACCTCTTCCCACCGGTTTTTTTTTTTTTTTTTTTTTACTTCGTATACTGGAAAATTGGAAATCTACTTAACGAGGTGATAAGAGCATCCCTGGTAAGTAGGTTCCGGCGTCGAAGGCTCCATCTATTGGTCGGGAGCTGCACCTGCTGGAAATCGGGCCTAGCGTCCGTGTACAATGATGTGAATTGCGAATGTATCTGCTGGAAATCGGGTCCAGCGTCCCTATGCAGAGATGTGTTAATATCATCATCTACCTATGTATGTTGTAGGTGAATGTATCTGCTGGAAATTGGGTCCGGCGTCCCTATGCAGAGATGTATTGATATCTCCAGCTACCTATGTATGCACGTTTAAGCAGTATGTTTCAGATGTTAGGGGAACCCTATCCATGTGGTGTATAGAATCTCAAAAACAAACCGAGGCATCGAGCCCATTCTTATCCATCAGACGAAACCCTAACCTTGATGCGATGTGTATAACGTGTGTGAGCTGGAAGTCAAACCAGCTTCCCTATAAAATGACATGTTGAGCTGTCGTAGAAAACCTATCTATCAGACCAGGAGACTACATGACATTGAGCCGAATTCTAGCAATCAGACCCCTATATGACATCGAGCCTAATCCTAGCATCAGACCAAGCACCAAACCCTACCGCTGATGAGGTCCGTTTGCATGATGAGTGCAATATGTGTGCATGATGTACATGATATGTTAGGAATCAAGTTAACGTCCCTGTGCAATGATGTGGTGTGTATCAGCTGGAATTCAGGTCCAGCGTCCCTATACAGTATCGCGAATCTGTGCCATGTCACGGAAGGGGACATCCTTATTCAGCTAATCAACCGTGTCTCCACAGCCACCACAGCAAACCTCATCCCATCAATCAATCGAGACACCAAACCCAACCCGTGATGTGGTCCTATGTTCATACTGTCATAGTGCAATGTATACATTGTATAGTCTTGCTTCACCCACGATCCAATCTGCACAAAAAAGCGGCTCCACCTATATCTCCACAAAGGGCAGAGGCATTGATTACTTCTCTACACGAGAGACGGATTGACCTTCTGCCCTTGAGGCATCATCCAACTGAAAGAATATCAAGATACGCCGAGCTCCCGTAAATCTCACCTTCAATCCCTCGCCCCAGCTCGCCATCCCAAAGATACCGCCAATTCTCCACCGCTGCACTGATGCAGCTGCTGTATTTATCTTCCTGTGTGCAGCTGTCGTTGTAGCAACCCTTGTTTCTGCCCGCGTTGTTGTTGTTGTTGTTGTTGTTGTTGTTGTTGTTGTGGTATCTGTCGCTGTTATTGTTGTTGTTGTTGTTGTTGTTGTTGTTGTTGTTGTTGTTGTTGTGGTATCTGTCGCTGTTATTGTTGTTGTTGTTGTCGTTGCCATTGCAATTGTTCTCGGTGTTGCTGTTGTTGTTATTGTTGATGTCTATGTTGTGATCAGTTCGCTTGCTCCTGTTTATTCGGTTGATGTCATCAAATCTACCGCCGTTGCCATCAACCCAAATTCCACGTCGCCTGCCTCGTCAAGCAGACGAGGATGAGAGTTTCCATAAACAGCATGGTCTTTCAATGGTGGATCTTCAGTGGTACGGTGCAGAGTGAGTGTGAGGGCTGCATCGGGAAGGAAGGATGGGAGCTAGATGGTCGTGTAGAGCAGGTGCCTTGCAGCAGGGCTGAAGAGGCCCCTTTTTCCATCTTTTCTTGGGTACTCATCTACCTGCGCAGTAAATCTCCTGTGTTCGGGGCAATCAATGCTGGCAGGCAGTTAGGAAAACTCAGATGGATTGGAACAGCTATTGTTTATGGGACGCTGGACCCGATTTCCAGCAGGTGTTGCTCCGCACCAATAGACGGAGCCTTCCCGAGTAAGCTAGAGGCATCTGCTCATACCAGCGCCCCTAGCTCCCACACGGGCAGCTTTCCCCGGAGGAAAAAAGAAAAAGAAAAAAGAAAAAAAGAGTACATAGTTACAAATACAAAGAAAGAAGGAAGGAACCTTTACATGTCTCACCATCCATAGCAGCCGAGCTTCAAAAAACAAGAAAAGAGAGAGA